GAATGGAACATCTTCTTTTCTGCGAGCACCCCCCCTGTGCAAACAAAATTATCTGCAAAGTTTTACAAATAAAGATGTTTTTAAACAAAGGTTAAACAATTTACCTCAATCCCAGATTTCAGTGCTTCTTGGAGCAGCAGAGGTGGCTTTACCAAGCCTCCCTCAGGCACTACCATGAAAATTCATTCCTGCAATGGACTGGTGTACATTCTTGTGGGCTTTTGAGGTGTCATCGATGAAGCACAGTAACATCACCCTCACCTCCAAGAAGCATTGCAGGTCTGGACTAAGGTATTGTTTAAACTTCTATTACATTCTATATATTTTTAAAGGTTTTTCCTGCTATTTTGTTTGGGGGGGGGGGGATTGGGGGGGCTGGTAAGGAAGCCAACTGTTAATTTTCATGGAAGGTCTGCTATAAAAAAAAAAAAAAAAAGCCTCCTTCAAAGTTCACAACAGGCACTGAAATCCCAGCTGCTTTGTTTTCTGTAGAGAGCAAAATCTTGCCAGCCTACTAATGTAAATGCACAGAAGGCAGTTGTAAACTGCTAGATAACAACAGAAATCCAAATCTCTGTTGTGATCTCTGCGGAATTGATGGTGGATTTTGTCACAGTACATGCAGCTGGACAGGTTAAGGATGACTTGTGTCAAACTTCTTTACTACTTAATAAGAATATGTAAATCCTGTGATGTTCATCAATGATGTCCATATAGGCAAAGAAGCACTTTAAGTATTTGTTTTTGTTACTAATCCCATCTTTTTGTTTCTTTCAGTGCATTATCAATGACTGTTGTAATGGACCTTTAGTGGATAGCATCAAACAGTATCCTTTAAGATCTAGCCATCCAACCTCAGTCCTGAATTACCAAAATGTATATGTGACCGAGTCATGGTTTTGTTCTATACTCATTAAGGTCATGGCTCTTTAGAAAACCTCCATGCAAGGCTATTCTAGTGGGGAGTGCTGGGAAATACTGTATGTAAAAGGTACAGAAAGACCACAACTTGCTCTTCAGATCCACTGTGAGGTTATGTGTAAATGCAGGTTTTGGGAGAATTGGCCTACTGCTGTTCCAGGCATGCAGGCATCTATGGTAACCTCCATATGTTTTATATAACATGTTGCATTTGTTTATATATTTGCTGCATCCTAACAATGCTTTGCAATATATACTGTATGTGTGGACCATCTTGATCTTATATCTAGTACAAGGTTCTTTCAAAGTTGTAGTTATGGCTGGTTTTGTTATCTTAATTTACTACAAAAATACAATTATTGATATACAGTATATTATTTCATTTTCTAGATGGCGCCAGTTCTGTAAGAAGTGGCCCACAGACGAGCCATTGTCCATGGACATGAGACTGAGAACAGATTCATGAATAACTAGCCAGACTGCTGAAGGATGATTTTTCACTGGTTGTCTGTGTTGTGCGTGTAGCTGCACACTCACAATGCTGCCCTCTGTGCTGTAAATGTACAGTGTGGTCATATTATTATTATTTGTATACAGAATTTATATAACGTCAACAGTCTATGCAGTGCTTTACAAAATGAAGGTAGACATTACAGTTACAATACAATTTGGTCCAAGAGGAAACAGAGGGCCTTGCTACGATCTAAGATGTTTGCCAAGAGTACTACTCAGCAGTTATTACCAAACAACCATGTTAACTTGGTTGGGATTTCCAGCAGTCCAGCAAGTGGACAAGTGTTTAGAGTGTTAGTTTGAGGTATTAATGCACTTCTCTCATATGCCGAATATAGTACACCTTTTGTGACCCTGCCTAACTCTAAACACAGCCAACTAGCTGCTTTCATTATATTTGCAGCTATTGGCAGCCAGGAATGAGTTATAATGGGCTGTAATGGCTTTGTGGTTTGAAAAAAAAGTCATGGCTGGTGAGGAAATAATTGATTAGCATTTGATAGAAACTATCAGGGAAATGCTTGATTGCTCTGTAGAGATATTGAGAAATATCATCCTTGCAATATGAAGTGGCATTACTGTGCTAGCTTTGACTTTGTACATTCTGAGAAGATTGATTTAAAGGAACTACATGTGACAGGCCTTTATAAAATGTATATGCTTTTATATTCCATTTTACTGGTTGTAGAATGTATTAAAGAGAGATGATGAGCAGGTGCTTTCTGGATGCAATCAGAGGGAAATGCAAACAAATGGAGGTATCAGGAAACAACAAAGTAAAAAAAATTATCTATGCTTGCTAGTGGGAGAAGAACGAATTGCTTTGTAATTTATTCATTTAAGAAAGCACCTGTAGCATAGTAGAATCCATGACCACTTTCTTAAAGAGGTAAGTAGGTCATGTATCTTGGGATTCCTTTCTGCCCCTTGAAAAATGTAACAGATTCATCCCTTAATTTGTGGAGTAGGTCAGGGTCTTACTAGTGTGATTGCCACAAATTTACAGTCTCTACAATTGAAAGTCTTATACAACTTCGGCAGCATCTAACATTTGGACAAGGGGCATGACCTACAAATAAATCAATTGTATGGACTTGTACAAGCTGACAGGGAAAGTTGTTTTAAGTAAGGCCCTTTTGTTAATACATGATTTTATGTGTTACTTAGTTTTTTAAGCTGGTTGGAGTACCTAATATTTCTTCATGTTATTGAAACTTTCAGAAGTGTTGTTGATTTTCTGATAATTTTGACTATTACATTCTCAAGTATCTGACATTATGAAATTGCATTGGAACGCTTCTCTGTTTAGCTTTCACTAGGATTTGTTTTAAGAGACAACTGCTCTCTGTGGTGGATACAGGAATATCAACTCCATGCTCTAAAATTGATGCATCAAAATCTCTCCTTTGGTCTTCTTCTTCCTACTTTTCAGAACTTTGTTTTTATGTCCTAGCAGTCTGAGATGCTGGCTTCGTATATGAAGGGCATCCAGAGCTGCGTAATATGACAATGAGCATTTTCACTGGCATTAGGCCAGGGCTATTGCCTTTGTAGTTAACACTCTTTCGCACTGTGCTCAGGAGTACTAAGCATATATATAATATTTTGGCTTCAGGCACACTCTCAAAAGTTGTGTGCATGCAGGTTATTACTTCTCCATATGACACTGCAACAGTTTTAGGATTATTCAGTAAGACAGTCTAAGGAGCAATGATTATGTATCAGTTTTATGTTCAGTGAACATTTAATTCTTAATAGCTGCAGTAAGTTACTATACTTTTATTTAAAGTGGAACTACACTGCATCTGAGCACCACAAAGGAAAAATGCTATTTCATTAATTTATAATATTCAAAGCAAACTCTCCCATCCATCCATGTCTCCATGCTTTATTTTGCTGAGAAATCACTTTGAAAAACACCCCCTAGCATTTCTGGCATGGCCATCTTGAGTAAGGGCAAATGATTCATGTAGCATTGACTTCCTGTAATCCATCTGCCGTTAGTTCAAGCATACAAGCAGAATCATGTGCTTATCTGAGAAAATCACTTCTCCCCTCCAGAAGACTCCTGGGATGTATGACATCATTTGCCTTGGCAAGAAACCAGGAAGTAACTGAAGAAATGTAAAAAAAATTGTTTAAAACAAGTAAATATGATATACATTCCTATAAACTGTATTTACTAATGCTAGCAGCAAAAGGATTAAAAAATAGTCAATATTGTTTGACAGAGTGAAGTTACAATTTAAAAAGCCTATATTTCTATTTAACCACCCCCCGCCGGCCATATGAGGAAATGACGGATGGGCGGCAGTTCTCTCGTTCTGAGAGGACGTCATATGACATCCTCCCACTCTTAACTGCGCTTGTGCGCCCCTGGGGGTGCTCAGCGCGGCAATCGGTGGTGCGCTGTGTCCCTGGGACACAGCGGATCACCGATCAGTGGAAAGAGCCGATGATGTCGGCTCTATCATGTGATCAGCTGTGTTCAATCACAGTTGATCGCATGTAAATAAGGAAATGACGGTTATCGGCTTTCCTCTCCTCACACTGACAGCTCGTGAGGAGAGGAGAGCCAGTAATCGGCATTTCTCAGAGTGGACATGTACAATGATCAACAGGGCACTGATGATCAGTGCCCTGATGATTAGTGTAGCCTAATCAGTGCCACCTGTCAGTGCCCATCAATGCCGCCTGTCAGTGCCCATCAATGCCACATATCAGTGCCTACCAGTGCACATCAATGCTACATATCAGTGCCCATCTGAGCTGCCAGTCAGTGCCACTTATCAGTGTCAGTGCTGCCAATTAGTGCCACCTATCAGTGCCAGTCAGTGCTGCCTAACAGAACCAGTCAGTGCTGCCTATCAGTGCCAACAAACAGTGCCACCTATCAGTGCCAGTCAGTGCTGCCTTTCAGTGCCCATTAATGCCACCTACCTGTGCCTTTTCATCAGTGCCCATCAGGGCAGCCTATCAGTGCCCCTAACTGCAGCCTCATTAACGCACATCAGTGAAGAAGAAAAATCACTTATTTACAAAATTATATAACAGAAACTAAGAAAAAACTTTTTTTTTTTTTCAAAATTTTCAGTTTGTTTAGCAAAAAATAAAAACCCAGAGGTGATTAACCACTTGCCTACAGGGCACTTATACCCCCTTCCTGCCCAATTGACAATTGCGTGGCCATGCAACACTGTACCCATATGACATTTTATCATTTTTTTGTGACCGAAAGAGTTTTATTTTGGTGGTATTTAATCACCTCTGGGTTTTTTTATTTTTTCTTAAACCAAAAAGTGAAAATTTTGAGAAAAAAAAAATGTTTTCTTAGTTTTTCTTATAAAATTTTGTAAATAAGTGATTTTTCTCCTTCGCTGATGTGCGCTAATGAGGCTGCATTGATGGACACTGATAAGTGGCACTGATGGGCACTGATGAGGAGGCACTGGTAAGTGGCACTGATGGGCATTGACAGGCATCACTGATGGGCACTGAAAGGCAGCACTGATAGGTGGCACTGATAGGCGGCACTGACTGGAACTGATAGGCGTCACTGACTGGCACTGGCTGGCACTGATAGGCAGCACTGACGGGCACTGATAGGCAGCACTGACTGGCAATGATAGGCGGAACTGACTGGCACTGATAGGTGGCACTGACTGGCACTGATGGGGTGACACTGAAAGGCAGCTCAGATAGACACTGATATGTGGCATTGATGTGCACTGGTAGGCACTAATATGTGGCATTGATGGGGCACTGATGGGCACTGGCAGGTGGCACTGCTGGTGCTACACAAATCATCAGGGCACACTGATCATCAGTGCCCTGATGATCAGTGTAGATGTCCCCTCTGAGGGATGCCAATTACCGGCTCTCCTCTCGAGCTGTCAGCGTGACAGCTCGTGAGGAGAGAAATGCCGATAACCGGCATTTCCCTATTTACATGTGATCAGCTGTGATTTGACACAGCTGATCACATGACCGAGCCGACATCTTCGGCTCTTTCCGTTGATCACTGATCCACTGTGTCCGAGGGACACAGCGCACTGCCAATCGCCGCGCTGTGTGCTCTTGGAGCTGCGCATGCGCGGTTAGAATGGGACGGCGTCATATGACATCCTCCCAGAATGAGAGAACCTTGCGCCCTTCATTGTACTATATGGCGGGTGGCAGGTGGTTATATACCACCAAAAGAAAGCTATATATGTCTCAAACAAATGATAAAAATGTCATATGGGTACAGTGTTGCATGACCGCGCAATTGTCATTCAAAGTGCGACAGTGCTGAAAGCTAAAAATTGGCCTGGGCAGGAAGGGGGTGAAAGTGCCCAGTAGACAAGTGGTTAAAAAGAAAGCCAAAAGCAAAAATACTCTTGGGATGAAATTGCATACTGACAATGCATCCTAGCGGCCACTGCAGATTCCACATTGATGTGGGTGTATTGTTTGGCTGCTTTGAGCTCTGTGATCAGCAGTGAAATGGCTCATGTCTTCAGCCAAGAACCAGAAGGTGTGGTCCCTGTATGGCCTTTGTTGGCACAGAGTACCAGAGTCACACGCACCCTGTGACTTATGGCCATGTGGAAGTGTTATATCAGGGTGAAAGTTTTCAGAAATTACATGTTAATTCTAGGGCACATAAAATAGTTAAAAATCAATTGGAAGTTTAAGGTTTTAAAAGCATAATGTCTTTTGAAGGATTGTGTATTGATTTTAAATATAACTCTCTAATTATATATGCACAGAGTGAAGCGCAGAGACAAGCTCTTTGCAAATGGCAGGGGGCTGTTTCACAGGAAGGCTTCTGAGGATTACGGGAAGCCGGGCCTCAGTGTTTCACTGGGCGGAAAATGGCCTGCGAGATTATTTACAAGTTTTGCCTGCTGGTCAGCGGGATCCATCAATAACAGGTAGTAACATTATAGACCATCACTAAGTGTTTCGGCCACTATCGCATTAGGAAATCACTTTGAAGCTCTCATTTTATTCCCTGTTTGTCTTCATCCTCTGCTTACCTTCTTCCTCCCGCTCTCACTCCTTCACTTTCTGAGAACCTGTGTGTCTATTTTTATTTTTCTGCTCCTAGACCTGCCCAGAATTGTAATTTTAGCAGGCATTTTCTGTAATAATCCTGTTTATATAAAAAAGGTAAATTAAATGAACACAATAATAACAGCACCACTGCTACTTTGACTGCAGAGGCCTGTGACCAATTGCTCTCAAGCCCTTGTACAATCTATGAACAGGTGATTGTTCCATGTCAACAGAAGCCTTTTTAAAGTGATTATGCACTTTGCCCATGAAGGGGAAAACAACAAGTGCACTTTAATGCCAGCCTCACCCGTGACTTTTACTTCCCTTCACTCACCTGTCACTTCATTTGGCAACTGGGAATCGAGAGAGGTATTCTTCTATTCTCACACCCATGTAACCATCACCACAGCACCTGTCACACTAAACCCTCTTTTCCCTTTCCAACCATTATGCCTGTCACAAGATCCTACCCTATTCTCCTTTTTATACCCAACAACCTCCTCACTGTGCCATCCATCAACCCAATAACGCACCTTCCAGATTTCCCACCCCCACCCTTTTACCACCAAGCTTGTCTGCAAACATGCCATTCTCTGCTCCAAACACCATGCCTCATGACTTTCTCTCACCTGCCTACCTTACAGCCTCCTGTTGCCACTGCTGCCGGTACTATATACCTCTCATTCCTCATCTAGCACAGCACACCAACACCACACCACATTGCAGCACCACTCACAACCCCCATCTCACCAAAGCACTTATTACAAACCCCTACCCTCCACTCTCACCACAGCACCTATCACAACTGTCCACGTTTTTGTTAGTGCCAGACGCAGTCTTTATTTCTCTGTACATTATATTTTAGTATTACAGATTGCATTTCATTATACAGAATTTTGCACATTAGACATAAGATTGCTATACAGAGGCACATACAGAGGACATGTCTTGTGCAGTATAACCACGAAGTTCAAGTGGAACTGAAGCCAAAAATTGTTTTTGTAATCTTGTATATAGTTAGCTATATTTACACTTGGTTGGGGAGCCGCAAAAGTGCACACAGTTGAGCCACATTTTTACTGCCCCCAACCACTCCCCCAACCATAAGGGGTATACACTTGCTTTGCATTGCGGCAGTGCTAACCTAACACAGTTCATTCAAATATATGGGCCACACACACCACATTGATGATGCCTTATAGGATTTAAAACAGGCGGTAAGGAGGCAAAAATACCTCCTCAGTGCCTGTTGAACAGCTTCTGAATAGCATTGTAAATGACAGGGGGCGTTGCCTTGACCAAAGGGGCTTCCCTTCTGCAGAAATCCCTACTGGGAGAAAATGCTTCAGAGTTATGCTGGCCTGGCATTTCTCTGCTGAGCTTGCAGCAAATTTCATATTACTGGCGTAACTCTTTTACCAGTGTCCATGCTGGAGCTCATCCAGATAAGGATCCTTTATATCATTTCCAGGTTGTTTAGCTTTAAATGTAAGCTGCATTAACTGTGACAAGTACCTGATGCATGCCTTTCTTGATCTGCTTAGAGAAACTTACCTGTTTTGTGCTGGAGGGTTTGCTAAGACTGTCGAGAATGAGAGTATTGACAGTATATGCTGTGTACCTTCTGGATGACTGCTTTTTAGTTACTAATATGCATTATAACATATAAGCCAAATGGCCAGCAATACCAATCTGGTAATCTGGTACCAATACCAGAACTCGGTAGGGTATCCTCTGCTGTATATCACCTCCGCTAATGGTACAAGCGTTGCCATGTATCTAGGGTCTTGGCAGCTTTTGATACACAACACCATTTGTAACATCCTTTAGCATTATGTGCTTTTTGGTGGGATATATTCACTATTTATGGTGCTCCAGTGATGTTTTCATATGAATATCAGTTGGCACTGCAATATCTGACGCTTGATCTGATATAATATTTGAAGACTGGGTGATTTCAAACACAAGGAAAAAAGTGTATGTATACAGGCCCTGCAGGGAATCAATTTTAGTGGGTTTTAAATGTGTTATATTGTATTATAAATGGGGTATATTTGTATAACATTATTACTGAAGGTCACATTTATAAATTCTATTTAGGAATATCTTTTTTGAAGGGGCTTACTTTCTACTGATTTTGAGAGTTTTCTTCCAGAATAGGTTTAAAATTATATGTATATATGTATGGAAAGTATTGAATGACGTGTCCAGAGTGTTATAGATATATTTTTTTAATTAAAGTATTTTTTATCAAATAGAAACTTTTTATTTAGGTTTTACAATTACCAAAATCAAAACAGGAAATAGGGAGATACTTGAAAACAGGTCAGTTACCCCAGTACACCATTAGACAGTAGAGGGAGTACAACTATACAAACAGTTCAAAACGACAATGCAAGGTATTAATGACATAGACTACATTAGTACCAGAGAAATTCCTAATCAGGGAGGTGAAGGACCAGATATAGAGTATTATCCAGATAGAGAGGCTGGTGTACTCAGGGCTGATATTTATTTACTCATACATCCCAAATTTGATGCATTTGTTATTTATTACAGGTACCTATATAGCACTGTCAAATCATTCCCTTACCCTTGAGGAGCTTACAGTCTAAGGTCCCTAACTCACATTCATACATACACATACTAGGACCAGATTAGACAGGAGCTAATTCACCTACCAGCATGTCTTTGGAGTGTGGGAGGAAACTGGAGTACCTGGAAGAAACCCATGCAGGCAAAGAGAGAACATGCAAACTCCAGGCAGGTTGTGCCATGGTTGGGATTCAAACCAACTACCCTACTGCTGCTAGGCAGAAGTGCTACCCACATAGCCACTGTGCTGCCCAAATAGAATGATGTAGCTTTAGTTGGCCTCAGGCTATATATACAGTATGTAATGCGCCATAAGAATCAAAGAACTGAACACCAATCCAGGCCTGTTAAGTAGGAGGGTCAGGGAAGATCCAGTTTTTAGTTATTTCCATTGTGGCTACAAAAAGTAGAAATTAAGGAGTATTTAAGCGTAGCCCAGTAACTACACTTTCTGTAGGATATGCAGGTAGGAAACTTAGCAACAGATTCACATAACATTTTCCTTATTTTACATCTCAGGACACAGGGTCTCATCTTCTCTACAATAGGGTTATGCTGCCACATTCGGATGGTCGAACACTGGCATGGGCTCATGAGTGCCCTGTTGTATTCCCTAATAATACCCTCCCATTGTGACCCCCCCCCCCAGGGGAGAAAAGTGTCCCTAAATGTTTCTGATGATGTTTGTTCTTATGTATAATGTTTGGTTACACTGTTAAGCTGCCTGGGTCACTCTGAGTGATCTATAGCAGTAGTGAAGCTTTAGCATGGTCCAGGAGCCCCTGGACACCAAATGTCAGTGTCATGTACCTGACTGGAGCCTAAGATGACAAGGGTGGCCTCTTCAGCAAATCCCGTCCAAGCACCCCTGGTTGTGGAGAAGGGCGCAGGTGCCAGGAAGTTGTTGTAATGGACTGAAGCTTGGCAGCACGAGAGTCCTTCTAGTGGTAGTATGGAGCCTGTATGATGCTATATTCCCACAGGCTCAGGTCAGGTGATCAGAACAAGAAATTTACAAAGCTACTAGACTAAAAGGGTTCAGGGAAAGCATTACATAGGTAAGCCACGGTTCCCATATTTTGACAATTTATCATTGACTAATAACAGATTCTTTAACTTCTTGAAAAGGAACCCATGATTATTTCTAGGCCCTAGCTATTGATTGCTTATCTGCCAAAAACAGGTTTGTAGCCAGTTTCTGTTAGTAGGAAAAGAGACCAGGAAATGGCTGATGAAGGGCTGCTCGGGCTTCCCTAGGGACTATTAGGTGAAATAAAGTTTGGAGGAGTCCAAACACTCTTGACCAGAACCCAGCTAATTTTGGAAAGGACCATCAAATGTGGACAACATCCCCTTGTTGGCCAAAGCCCCTGTTGGTCACATATATCACTACAGTTAGGGTTGGCTTGA